TCAGTCATCCCCTGACATGGTCAGCAACTCACTTGAATGCCCGAAGCTCCCGTCCCTATCAGGGCGACGCGTTTGCCTTTCAAATTCACGCCGTGCTGAGGCCAAAAGGCGGTATGATACTGAGGTCCCTTGAAATTCTGCAGACCTGGGAAAGGTGGCTTGTAGTGCTTCGACGCAAACCCAACGCATGGCATGAACCATTGTGCGTAGACCTCTGTGCCATCTGAGCACTCAATGTGCCACTGGTGTCTCTGCTCATCGAAGATGGCGGTCTCGACGTTCCTGTTGTATTCGATGTACTCTTCCGTGTTCCATTTTTTCTCGATATATTTGAAGTAGCGTCTCAAGTCTGGCCAGCTGGAGTACCGCTCTTTAAAAGTAAAGTCTTCGTACAGATCCCGGTCAAACAATTGATAAATCGGCGACTCGGAGTCGACGCGAGCTATATGAAGATTGTGAGGAACGCCTTTGATGTCGGGAAAATCTTCTGATATGACCTACCTCCAGGGTAGCAGTTCCAAAACCAGATGCCTCCTGCAGCGGGTCCTCGTTCATAGATCTTGACACTGAGTCCCTGTTTCCGAAGTTTGTTCAGCAGGGTGAAGGCTCCAAAGCCAGCACCGACAATCAGCACATCCACAGAAGGGATCTCTGGTTTTGCTATCGACCCCATGATTGAGCGAGAAGACGGCAAGGTTTGATTTGTGATTGTTCAGAAAAGGCCGGGATCCAGCATGTGAAGTATTTGTAGTTGGGGTCGCTGCACGTCTAGACTTCCGAGTTAGAACCTACCCCAGCATGTCGGAAACTGTTGTCCGCTTCTTCAGCGTTGGAACCACCTCCTCGGGACCCCTGATGCATCGCAATCGACGGGAATAGTCACATTGTAAGCTCTACAGACCTCGGGTAATGGTATACCTCGTATATCTACTCCGCATATGTACAGCTGTGGAGCGCATTTGCGGGGGGGGGGTTTGGACGAACGGATCTCCTATCCCGGATCGGTGGGACCGAGTCAGGCATCTGGGGGAATACTTCATGCTTGGTCGGCCCTGTAAAGTGCATGCGGTACGTTGTAGAGAGTGAATCCGAAAACCAGGTTTTGGTTCTCAGTATCAGGCCATCCTCAGCCATGGTGACTTCTACTTTGAGCGACTTGCTGACCGGTAGCGCTGGCACCACCTCAGACAATGCAAACGGGAAGGCAAATGGTTCGTTGGGGCAAGAAGAATATTGTGACCTGCATGGGGTTGTGATTGTATGTTGTCCCGTGTTTCTGAGTCAGTGCTCTCGGCTGATCAGGCCATTGCAGAAGCCACTCCAACAGATCGAAGAGCTCACGCCACTATGGCTGTCGATGTTTCTCAATCGCAAGATCGATGAGAATGGCTTCGTCGTCAAGCCAACTGGGACGGGCCAGATGAGCAATACTTACCGAGTCCAGTTTCATGATCTCGACCATCCAGGCAAAGTCAGCCAAGTTGTGGTCAAATTTGCAAGAAACGACAAGGACACTCGAGACCTTGGCATCAGATTTGGCCACTACCAACGTGAGGCTGTCTTCTATCGAAGATTTGGAGACAGGCTGTCCGCTGGTCTACCACACTGCTATGGCGCAGTGGTAGACAGACATGCTTGGTTTACCCTTGTCCTCGAGGACCTAGGCTTGTATGACGGGTACCAAGGGGCCCAGCTGGAAGGATGTGATTATAAGCATGCGCAGCTGGCCTTGAAAGCGCTCGCTCAATTGCAGGCGCCGGTCCTAGGAGATGCACAGCTGGATGAGGACGAGTGGCTCAATAAACCGCCCGCTTTGGACCAGAAATTCTTCAATGAATGTCTCCCAATTTTCCGCACGCGCCAGAAGCTTCCACCCGAGCAAGAACAGCTGTTGAACTGGCTCTCCGAAAACCTCGATGACTGGTGGGCGACTCGAGAAGGGCCTTTCTGCATCTTCCATGGAGATTTTCGTCTGGACAATATCCTCTTCCTTGCCAAGGACAATCATCGTGCGGTAGCAGTCGATTGGGGCGGGCTTGGTTGGGCGTCACCCATGCGGGATGCTGGATACTTCCTCGGAAACGGACTGACGATTGAGAACCGGCGAAAGTGGGAGAAGGATCTCATCCGCGAGTACCTGGACGAGCTCAATCGTTGGAGCAAGGTCCAACTGACATGGGAACAGGCCTGGAAGCAATATAGACTCCAATCGATATATGGCCTTGCACAACAGTAAGCTTGACACCGACCGTGACTTGGCCATGCTTTCTGACTGTGGAGTTTCTAGTATCCCAGCTGCGGCAATCTGCGCACCGACTGAGCGAGGAGAGAAAATGTTCTATACATTGACCTCGAGGCAGGCCCAGCACGCACTAGACATGGACGCGGCATCATTAGTGAAGCCACGCCCCAAATCTTACTCACCTCATGTTGGAGACGAAGCCGAGCATGTTCCACCAGCAGATGGGGGACCTCTCTGGAGTGAAAGCTGGTATTTTGACTGCACCACACCAGATGGCGAAGCTGGCATGTACGCTCGAATTGGGCGCCTCCCAAACCAGAATTGTTGCAACTTTATCGCCGGGATTTTTCGGCGGGGAAAGTCATCGGTCATGCTCGTCAATATGCAAGCACCTCTACCAGCCTCCCATCACGCTATGCAAACGTTCTCGACGGATCGGTTCGCGGTTGAGAGCAGATGCCTCGTTCCGCTGGAGAAATTCTCATTCAGTTTGAGCGGGACGGGATCCGCCTCGCCCGACTCCATTACATCTTTCCACGGAGATGAGGCGCAGGTGGAAGATGTGCAAAATATCAAGATCGATCTCGTTTGGGAGACGTCGGCAGCGCCATATAAGAAACACGGACAGTCTCGTTACGAGATACCGTGTAAAGTTACTGGGAACATCAAAATCGGTGACGAGGAAGAGATCAGATTCAACGCCGCCCCGGGACAACGGAACCACAGTTGGGGTGTGCGCAACTGGTGGGTGGCTGACTGGGTGTGGTCTGGCCTACACTTTTCAGACGGCACAGACGTCTTTACTATCGCGTTGGGCAAAGGACCAGACAGTACGGGTGCGTCGGGATACATCCAGAAAGATGGCGGAATCAAGGAGATTACTAAGGTAGTTAATGAATTCGAGTGGCAGGATAACGGACTACCTGGAAAGTTGAGACTGCTGGTCGAGCCTGGCGGTATGAGCATTGAGTGCGAGGCAATCGCGGCTAGAGGTCTGCGTCTTTTTGATCCCGAAGGTCGAGAGGCACATCTGCCTCGAGTCATGTGCACCGCAAGGACCAGTGATGGGAAATCAGGGGTGGGATGGTTGGACTTCAATCGGGTTGTCAAGCGCGAGCCAGGGCAAGCAAGGAATGGTCAAGCAAAGGACGCATAGACAAAGCATACAAGACAGATACTGAGAGGCAGAGGAAAGGACGCGAATACAGCCGCAATAGAGCTACATGGGGATCACCTAGACAAGCTACGCCTAAAACGGTAACTCTGGGTTTCATCACGTGAATTTGCTCTACTTCCATCCCCAAGGGCTCTAGCGTAATGTAGTCTAATCAAGTCCCTCCCCAGGTCATAATAGAGCGGCATGGCCATCTACCCCGATCCGCAGTCAAGCTACTCAGGGCATTTCCACATCTTGGTTCCGACAACGGGGAGGCTGGGGCGAACCTGTTCGGAGACGTTGTAGCCTCCCCGCCCCGCAATCTTGGATTCCAAGGAACAAGCTGCGGCCCAGGCCAGAATGCCATTTTTGCCTCCGCAGTGGCGGCTGCTGTGGTTGATCCTTCGCGCGCCAACAGAGGCACGAATGGGCTGGCCACTGCCAGGCCTTGCATTTCAATATCGACATCGATCTAGTTTACGCGGTACCTACGAGGTACATACGTGCCGAGTACACACTTTTGAACACGACAAGTGTGAAGCGACACAGCCAAATCGCTTACTCTTTCAGCCCTCACAAAGCCGTCAAAGCCAGATTCCCACCTTCATCAACACGCCCTCATATCGATGGCCAAACCTACTGTCCTACTTGGAGACGTGAAATGTCGGCCTCGAAGAGGTACCGAGTGTGTGGCTGAAGTACAAGTAGCAATTGTCAAGAGCTGGACGGACCGTCGCAGGCCGCAGGTCGACTTCACTTTATGACACGATATGGTGAGCTCAGCTCGTGACATGACCACTGGCACCCAACTGGTGACCAGTTACTTGGGTCCCTTGGGGACTCGGTAAACATTACAAAACCATCCGAGTGATCCAGCTTAGTGGCTTTGTGGGAGATAATTATAAAAGGGGGATTTTCCTCCCCAGAGGGACGTGCCTCGTACATATGATATGCTATGGATATCCGCACATTCGACATACATAGTCCCAACATACTCGGTTCACTCACCAATCCGACCCGCTGGTAGGGAGTAATTATGAGGGAAGATATGCAATCGCATTAGAAATTCAGAAATTGCGCCTTTTGAAAGTCTGATAGTCTGGGGTCCGGCTATCTGGGTAGCTACACGTACCGAGTTGTCCTAGACCTGCCAACCGCCCACTCATTTCTTCAGTCTCTCCCTCTATATGATTGCTCTTGAATTTTTTGTGAAGCCCTCCTCCTCCTCGCAGGAAATGCTTTGTGAAATTAAGAAAAATAAAAAAACACCAGACTCCCCCCCTCCCGCCTTGTTGAAACGTACACAAACAGCTTCCTTTCGTTCTCTCTCTCTCCCTCTCTCTCTCGCGTGCACCACACCACTTGGCCACACCACACCACACCTCGAGAAAAGCACCCACAACTAAAAAACATTGGCCACCCTTTATCTGCGTCTAGGATTGGTTGCGGACTGACGAAAAGGAGATCTCAATGCAAGAATGGCCAGGATTGGGTCTTGAGAAGGGGGATTCTCCGAAGAAAAGAGTGGCGAGTGGTCGACGCCACAGATGGCGACTAGTGCTTTTTTTCAGTGTTAAGGCTCGTATTTTTTCTTTCTTTTTTCTAATGCTCTGCATTCGTCGTCCGCGGGTTGACGTCTGAATCTGCACCCTTCTCCGCGCCAGTGCTTACGCCGGTGTCTGCTCTCTTCTCTCCATTGGCGGTCTCGACGGGCCCGTCGACCACGCTGCCCTCTTTGCTCTCCTTCGGGGTGCCAACTTCCTTCTTCCCCTTGTTCATCCGCTTGGGCACGCGGGCGAGCCAGTAGAAGAAGACGGCGCCGAAGACGTTGAAGACAATGTACGGCCACATCAGGCCGAAGTTGCGCCACATGTGGTCCGGGTTGGAGGAGACGGTGGCCAGGAAGTCGTCGGTAGTCGCGATCTGGCAGTAGGTGCAATTGCTGCCCGAGGGGTTTTGCAGGTATCCGCCGGCGACGGCCATGTAGTCTCTCATATACTCGGCACACGTCTGGCCCGCGGGGGCTGGGAAATGGAGATACTCGTTGGCGGCACAGGTGACGGTGGTGTGCGCAACGGACGTGCTGAGCATGCCGTCAATGAGATATGTAAAGGGCGAGACGCGGTACATGAAAATCCAGAAACCGGGGAGCGCCTTGGGGCCGACGAGGACACCGCAAAAGACCAAGGTGAGCGAGAAGGTCATGTTGGCGATGTTGCCTCCCGTCTCCGCCGTCTCGATGGCCGCAATGACCATGTGTGCAAACGTCGACGTAAAGAGCAAGAAGGCCAGGATCAGCAGGAACATCAACGCGCCACGTACGTGGACGGCGTCTGTCGGTTCCGCATTCCTGTACAGGCCAATCGGGTAGTACCAGGTGAAGTAGATGAGGATGGCGCAGAGTGTGGACCAGGGCAGCTCGACGATGATGTTGCTCATCATGAATGCCTGCCACGAATACGTCTTGCTGGGTCGTTCGCGGACCTCGTAGAGTGAACGTTGAGTCACGAACAACGGCATGATTTGCTGCACGAGCTGGCCGAAGATGGTCATCAACATGAAGATGCCGAACATCTGGTTCTGGAGACCTTGCTGCGTGTTCCTGGCCTTGAAGAAGGAGAAGCCGATGAAGAGACCCTGACGAAAGGACATGGTTAGCGCCGACAACAGGTGGGAAAAGGGGGGAGCGGGGGGGGGGGGGGGGGGAGTTACTCACAGAAGCGATACAGAGAGACAGTTTGCTGTAAATGTAGGAAGGCGTACGCCAGTATTGCTGAAAGACACGCTTCAGAACCTCGTAGAGCTGCACGTAGAACGGAGCGGCGAACTCGCGATAGCTGGCTTTGCTGGCCCGGTTCGAGACCGTCCGGGCAAGTTGACAACGCTCTGCCTTCATTTGAGAGAGCTCGGCGTGTACATCCCTATACTCCGGCGACGTGCGCCACGTCTCGACCCAATCGATCTCGGTGTGTGAACCAGGTGCGGCGCCGATGACCTCCAACATCCACTCGGCGGGATTCGCGTCGGGCGGGCACTGATGGGCGCCGTTGCGTTCAAAGTAGTTGATGAGTATCTTCGACGAATGCCCAACGGGCCCGAAGTAGACGGTCTTTCCGCCGCTGGCGAGGAAAAGGAGCCGGTCAAAGCGCTGGAAGAGCATCGCTGAAGGCTGATGGATGGTGCAGAGAATGGCCTGTCCGTTCTGTTTCAGCTTCTCGAGGAGATCGAGGATGGACCACGAGGTCTGAGAGTCGAGACCAGAGGTAGGTTCGTCGAGGAAGAGCAGCAGTTCTGGCTTCGCCGCCAATTCCACGCCGATGGTCAACCGTTTGCGTTGCTCCACGTTGAGGCCTTCACCGGGGACACCCACAACGGCGTCGGCGTACTCGGACATGTCGAGAATTTTGATGATCTCGTCGACGTAGTCCAGTTTCTCCTGCCGTGGGATATGTGCGGGTTGACGGAGGAGAGCGCTGAAGTTCAAGGCTTCTCGCACCGTCGACGTCTCCAAGTGAAGATCTTGTTGTTGCACGTAGCCGGTTTTGCGTTGGAAAGACTCGTCTCGCTGGCGACCGTCGACCAGCATCTCGCCGGAGATAACTCCCATAGTCACACGGGTGGCCAGGACGTCGAGGAGCGTCGTCTTTCCAGCCCCGGACACGCCCATCAAGGCAGTCAAGGTGCCCGGTTTGACCCAGCCATCGACGTGATCCAAGAGCCGACGTTGGCCACCTTTCACCGAAATATCGTAGCAGACGTCGCGCCACTGGAAGATGGCCGTTTGTTTCTGAATGACGGATGACATGTCCTCAGCGGTTTTGACCCTCTCCACCGGGGCGGCTGTCGCGACATCGCCGGTCTCGGCGTCATGAGGGAGCTTCAGTCTCAGCGCAGGGGGAGTCTGACCGCGACGGAAAACCAGGACTTCGCCTTTGGATTTCTTAGCCTGGACGAACTCGGCTGAGATCAGGTAGGTGCAGAACAGAAAGATTAGGAATGCGATCAAGATGCCGAAATTCCTCCACCTGTGGGACGCGTAGTATTTGTAGTTGCTGTTGATAAAGTCGTCGCCGTTGACAAAGGACTGACCGGGCCGAGATCCCACCGTGGCGCAGACGTGGTTTGAATCCCCGTACCCAGGACCGGAGGGCACGAAGAAGGCGCAGTCGAAATTCCGTCCGGAGAACTCGTTGATCATCAGCGACTCGAAACCATACGCGACCGGGTCGAGGTAGTTGATCCAGCGTGCCCAGCCAAGCATATAGTTGACTGGGATGGCAAAACCGGTGTAGATGACGATGGCGAGGATGAGAATGGCGGCCGGTGCCAAAGCTTGACTCAAGGTGCGGGAGACCGAGGCGATCGTTCGAAACAGCATACTCATGACCAGCGTCAAGGTGAAGGAAATGAGGAGGAAGAAGAAGAATGCGCCGGGCTCTCTGCGGAGATTGGTCATGAAATACAAGGTGATGTTGAAGATGATGGCATTGCTAATCTTGTACGGCATGTCCGTCAACATGGAAGCGTATGCCTCGGTCGACGGGTGATACAGCGCGTACCGTTGGTGCTTCTCGACGATCGGCCGTTGCGCATACAGCGTCAGGATTTCCAAGGCAGAGCTGAAGGCGTTGATGAGAATGGCAAAGAAGAGCAAGGCGCCGCGCGAGTAGAACGAGTTGGTGGTGTCGTCGAGGTTGTAGAAGATGGAACCGATGATCAGGGCAAAGACGTTGTTTCCGATGATAGAAGTCAACGTCAAGCTCGGGTCGGCCTTCAACCTGCGGAATCCTCGCCAGAGACAGAGTTTGACCTGTTGACCGTACGACAGCGTGTAGGGCGACGACACGCGTTGCCGCTTCGCTTGCTGCAGTCTTCTTGATTCCTTGAAGCGGTTCAGATCCTCACCGCCAAGGGGATGCCTCTGGTCAAAGTCTTCAATCTCTTTCAGTAGTTGCGCACGTTCCGGCGACTCTTTCCAGGCCTTCGCAAAGTCGTCGGGGGTCCGTGGAACCCGGTTCTCAAAGCCTTCGCGGACGATTCGTTCTTGGGCGCTCGTCATGGACGTCAAGAAGTCGGCGGTGGTCTGTCGCTCGGGGCATTGGAAGCCAAGACGGACAAAGTAGTCTTTGGCATCCACGGTCCGCCCGAAATAGATCTGCCGTCCCTCATAAAGTACAATAACCTTGTCGAAGAGGTCGTAAGCTGCCTGGGGAGCCTGGTAGATAGCCACCGCGGCCGTGTTGTTGAGGATCTCAGTCGAGAGACGCAGCGTTTTACAGAACTCAATGGCGTTGGCACTGTCCAAACCACGGGTGCTGTTGTCCCAACATTGAAGAGGCGACATGTTCAGCGTGGCTTCGGCGATACTGACACGTTTCCTCTCGCCTCCACTGACACCCCGGATGAAGTCGTTGCCCACGCGAGTGTTGAAGGTGTGTCGGATGCCAAAAGTTGCCATAATAACGTCTCGCATATGGCACGCGTATTCGTGGGCGGAAACGTTTCCAGGTCGATGTCTCGGTGCTCTTGCACGTGCGGCAAAGTAAAGAGTGTCACCGACCGTCAACTGGGGAAAGTGGATGTCCTGTTCAGCGGTGTAGATGGCCTCGCCGCGGAAGTGCTTGTGCATCTGATCAAAAGGAATCCCCTGGTAATTGACGTATGAATCCTCGTCGACGACGAAACCGTGTGTTTCGCCTGCGAGTGTCTTGAGGAACGTCGAGCAGCCCGACCCAGGAGGCCCGAGAACGACGAGCATTTCACCATGGTTCACCAGTCCGTCGAATCCTCGAAGGATGTCGATTCTGCGTTGTCCAATGTTCAGGAGCTTGCGAGCCATGCCGAGGATCTGTAGCGGGGCATTGCCGACTGTCTTCTGGTAGTCAGTCGCCGATCCGAAACCGTGGGCGCTCAGGTTGCGGAACGCCACTCCGGCGGTCCTGGCAAGGAACCGGTCGTCTTTGTTCTGCAAATTAAACAGAGCCTTGATCCAGTCGTGGGTTGAGAAATTCTCGGAAGTGGGATCTAGGGAAGAGCCTGGCGCAGCGTGAAAGGGATTGGCATCCTCAGTCTTGGTGGACGTTCGTGAGAACTGTCGAGCCAGATATCTGACGTGAACATCCTCATCCTCTTCGTTCTCCGAACTTCGAGATTGGTCGCCCGCCGGTTTTTCTTCCATGCCCGCCGAGCTCGTGCGACGCTCGTGACTGGCACCGTGGTGTGCAGAGGCTGAATCCTCCATGGCTATGGAGCGACGACTCTCGTGAGATTTTACCCGTGACGGGCCGTTGGGCTCGTCGTGTGATTCCCTGCGGTAGTGTCCCAAAAGCCCTGGGCCTTGTCTCCCGGCACTGTTGTCGTAGTTGGAGGTGAAATTACCTACGAGAGACATCTTAGACGTCCTCGTTCCCGGTGGGAGAGCAACCCAAGTTGAGGGGGGATTGCCCTCGCGTTGCTGTCAAGAGGGAGGACGGTACGGCGGATTGAATTAATCAGGGTTGGACAATGAGCCGGCAAGTATGTGGTGGGCTACCCCGAAGGAGACGACTGAGCCGCAGCCTCAAAAGAGAATCAGTCTATGAATGAAGGACCAAAAAAAAAAAGAAAGGGAAAGGGAAAATGGAACGGGAGACTGGCGAGGAATCTGGGAGCGCAGTGTCGTAAGAGTTCGTCTGCAGGTTAAGAACGATCTTATATTGGCAACTCTAAACAAATCTCAAGTCTTGGAATGCAACCGCAGGCACTATGATGGGGATGTCGATAAGCTGTCCGCATCCGTTGGTGGATCGGGGCGGAGCATTTGTGCGTCGCTGTCGTCAGGGGGAAGGAGGACGGCGGACGAAGAGGACAAGAATTAATCGAGATGTGCACCGGCTACGGAGAGCTTCGGGTGCACAATGAACGAATGCCAATATCCAAGACGTGGCCATGTTTTGACGCTGGGCTTGTGGCAATCACACTGGCGTGACTTGGGGGTGGGAGAGGAAACGCATGTCAAGGCGGGAATCGTATGAACTTCGGAGAGATTAGAGTTTGGCGCGAGTCAACTGCCAATATCAACATTGGCCATGGCTCGCCACATGACTCAAGCTTTTCCTGGGTCCCCCACTCTGCCCCTCTTGCTCCACCATATCATTGGACTAGCCCCTGGCGCCGAGCCCTGCACAATTTGCCAGTTCCTCTTTTGGGTACTTTATGAACCTTGCCTCGGCAGCCGGAATCACGACGGCGTGGGTGCATCCGGTCCTACATAACTACACGACACTTCCCTACCGAGGAAAGTCTCATTCCTGAAATCCACCAATGAGAGAGCCATATACCACATTCGTTAAGGTGTACGTCGTCGGGTGCCCTCGATAAAAAATAATGATCAGGAGACCAACATGCTATTTTAGCCGTCTGGACAATCAAGAAATCCTCTCTAGTATGAATTCGGGTGCTTCGTACGAACGGCGATTGCTTTAGCTGCGATTGTGCTAGCTGCGATATAGGGCGGTGAACGGAAAAGTACTGTACACCTGGACATGGTCGCGCGTTCATTTCTTCGGACTTCTCTACAGTCCCCCAAGTTGTTAGACAGACCATGCAATGTCATTCACTCAGCACGTAAGCACATGGAGAACCTTCTTATCGTTCATAATTGAGCTTATTCTTTTCTCTGGCTAACCAACGCAGATCTCTATGCTCATCAACATTTCAGTTCCTCGTGGGTCTGGAACGAAAGCCGTTCAATGTCCACTCAGATCTGGCCGTCCAACTTTCCCCAGTCTTCGCCGCCCTGATCAACGGTAGCATGGTCGAGAGTGTCGAAAGACGGGTTGTCCTGGACGACATCGATGAAGAGACCTTTCTGCGCTTCTGCGAATTCGCCTACAAGGGAGACTTTTCGGTACCTCCGCCCAAAACCGTCGTTGACCAGGAACTGCCGTCGTCACCACAACTGGAAACAGTTGACGAAAAGTTCACTTCCAGCCATAACAGGTCTCTCTCTACCGGCGTCCCTATTGGAAAAGTCCTCGATGGCGGCGAAGGAGAAGGGTTGAAGGTATTGGCGACGGGTTTGTGGCCACGGGTCCGGGGCGACCACCACAAACCAGCTTGGAGGCATCAGATTTCGCGGCCAGTCTCGTGGCTGCGAGGGCGAAGAACGGTCCGCACCACCGACAATCGCACACGGGACTCCCTGGCAAAACCTGCAGTTGTCTCAAATCTCCCCGATCCAGGCTCGAAGCTGGCCGCCGACTGGGCCAAGTTCTGCAACGCTTCCACAGACTGGGACGGGCCCCTTTTCCGACCGTACAAGAACTACACGCCCTCGGAGAGCCTGACGGAGATGCTCCTGTCCCAGGCGAGGTTGTACGTCTTTGCCGACAGATACGTCATTGAGTCGCTCAGATCGCTGGTTCTGTACAAGATGCGCCGTTCGTTAGCCTCGCTCAAGCTGTTTCCCGAGCGCGTACCGGAGGTGTTCCTGCTCGTCCAGTACGTCTATGAAAACACAAGAGAAGGCGACGACCTCAGAGCCTTGCTGACGCAATTCATCGCCTGCATGATCACCGTTTTTCTGCAACATCCCGACTGGGACGGATTCATTCGCCAGCAGCACATTTTCACCATGGATTTGCTGAAACATCTGAGAGATAGTGTGGAGGTTGATGATGGGCGGAGAAGAAGCGCCGCATAATAACCCTTTTTTTTTTCTTGGTTCTCTTCTTCGGATATACACCCTTATCAGGGTGTTGGCTGCGCCACGAATGTTTTGTGTCATTTGGGCACAAGTTATATAGATGGGGCCCTTTGGTCCTTAGACCAGTGGTTACCGAGCACCATCACTTCAAACCTGTCGGCTACGGCACAGCTCCGCGAGGACCACCACCACCAGCATTTATGGAGGACGGACCCGCAGTGTCTCTGGCCGAGCATAAAATCCAGGACATGCCGCCTATGAGGCTGCCGCACGGAGATTGGGCATGCAGGAAGAACAGGGTTCGCAGATAACACATAGACGAGATTGCGTACGCAAAGCGTGGGATTAATGTGACGGCTACTCACCATCGACGGATCGCCCTGTGTGAAGCAGTGGCAGATAGATATGTGAGGTACCTTGCCTGCTTATCAACTCGTGAATGCGTACTTCTCCCTGTGGAGACAAGGGAGCCTAGGGGGCCACTGAGGCGATCATTGTTGGGAGTGATAGAGGGTAACTGGGGCATGACGAGGAAAGATGCCATTCCCACGAAAGCTCTGGCTTCAAGTAGTCGTCTGGGGCATATTATATAGATTCACGAGACGTGTTATGGGACGGCGAGGAAAAAGAGAAAGGTCGGGTTATGAACAATTGTGAGAAGGTTCCATACCCACGCCCAGCTTCACATCTTCACATCTTCACATGTCTCTCAACTTCCATGCATATTTGTACAAGGTACAAGTACGAGTACATACTTTGTCCTTTGTACACTGTGGGACCTGAGAGCAACGAATCGGATCAATTTCAGTGGGAGAAATATAGTTTGATACACTCCTACCGGCGGTGTAACCAACGCAGCAACCCACCAAACCCACTATCCCATTTGCGTACTCTACCAAGCCATTCGGCCGTCCAATTCTGGAGACTTTGAGGACTCTGAAGCTCGTCCTTCGTGTTCGTATGATTCGTATTCGAACAAAGACGAATCATTCGTCGAAAACACGAGACTCGGCAAAGCCTTCAACTCCTCCCCACTCCCTCAACCGCAACTTGTTTCCCGTTCCCTCGACGGCGGCTTGTCTTTGCTTCGCCCGAACCGGATCTTTGCCCCCAGGCATCAAGAACCAAGGTCCAGAATTTGCTGGTTCTCAACGACCTTCTCTGGCGGTGGGTCGATGCAGAATCTCACCAGCGCCTTCGCCAGCCGAGTAACGATGACGACAGGCGTCATCAGCGATGCGATCTTGCCGAGAAAGATGCTCTCATCGCGCACGACCCCACCGGGCCGGATCACGATTACCTCAAACACATCTGGATGGGTATTGGCCATGTCGAGCAAACCCTGTTCAGCAGCGCCCTGGGGATGGTGAGACGTCAGCAATGATCGCGACCAGCTCACCGAGCCCGACGAGCACAAAATAAGTCGTCGCCGACGGTAACACGCCGTACCTTCAGTTTCCGCGTGTCGGAGAACAGCCAGAGTTTCCTGTCCTGGTGCCATTCCGCGCCGTTGCCGCTGCAGAAGACAAACCGGAGTCTCTGTTCCGGTGGCAGAGTCGGACAGACACCTCTCACCAAGGCGTTGGCGGCGGCCAAGGTGAAATCCACGCCGACCGTCCTCGCAGTCTGGAGATCGGGAAAGTCCTCGACCTTCCCTCCCAGACACCTGGGAACACCCGCGGGGGTTAGCCCTTCTACCTGGCAAAGACACAGGGTGATCTTTGGGCCCACTTTACCAAATACAACCTTGGACTCCGTAGAGTTGTTGGAGGAGGTCTGTCGGGTATGATAAAAAGTCCTTGTGACGGATCACCTCCACCTTGGGACTTTGGCTCAGTGTCTCGTCAATGTTGCGCCTCGTCAGTACAATGATGTAGGAAATCCTCGGGTTCTCGATCGCTTGGACCACGACTTCCCTCCCGACAAAACCAGTGGCCCCCGTGATAATGATCTTCATCATCGCAGACTAGACACTCGGGACACTCTATTGAATTCGGGATTGCCGTTCAACTTGCTTGACAACAGTGATATAACAAGTAGAACGTGTGAGTCTTTGTAGGAGCTTTTGAAGCTGGATTATGGCGCGAAACAGCGATGCAGAGAGGTTTGTCCGTGTCCTAGACTGCTCTCCAAGGGTATGCCTGGGCCAGATTGTTGGTAGATGCTTCGGACATAGACCATGTAGCATCCGAGGCAGATGCATTTGATAGGTGGAAAAGAAAACCCCTGTTCCTTGTGTCGCATCGTGTTACATGGGCCACCCGTCTAGTCAGCCAAACCCGTGAGTGGGACATACAAGTACACCGTATGTGCTTGGGAGAAACCCGGTACTGCAGACAACGACACGGGGAAAGGCTGAGCGTGCAGGACTGGCAGGTTGGAGTTTTCGATGGTCAAAGGAGACCTCCACAACAAGGACCACAAAAGTAGAGACGGAGAACGGAGGGACGAGCATGCCAATGTGCTTGATCTGGCGCAGTTGAGTAGACACAACATGACGGGTAGAAACGAGGAGAGTGACGGGCACACCACCTTAATCTGAGGCAAGCTAGCCTCGTACGAGCTCAAAGCACAAAGAAAAGCCCCGGACACTCATCTTAATCCCTAAGATCTCCGGGTAAAGAACCGACCATGTTCTGGAATCTCCATGGTCTTTGACAGTGCGAAGATGTCTCGAGAGAAGTCTTGCTAGGCGTTGTCCACCGTCTAACTCGAAATTGACTCCGGCTTCATGACAAAACACGCTGTGCATAGCTGATCAGCCATGTGGCCCCCCTTCAACGCCTCTTGCCTTACCAAGACTCGACCGCAACCTTTGAGTGAAGCTCGCAACCTAAATATCTTGTCTTCGACTTGTCGTTCAATCATTTCAGTCATCATGTCGACCCTTCCCAGACCTCACTGGTATCACCGCAATACTCGATCATAAGTCTGCCCTTTCACAGACCCGCCTCCCATCGCCGTCCTTGCATTCCGCCGGAAACCCTCTCGGTTGTTTCGGAGATCTTCAGCCGCTTCCTTGTTGAGCGGATCGGACGCATTGGGCTCGAGGAAGAGAAACTGTTCAGCGAGTTAGCTGCAACCCGTGACGCTCGACATTGAATGGAGAGTTTACCTGCATGCCCACGATGACGGCATTTAAATTCAATACCGGCTTCCAATCCTCTCTTAGAATATTCAAGCAGACGTTTCCATCTAGGTCGATGTTTGGATGATAGATCTTCTGGGTACACTTGACCTTCGGCGGATCGTGCGGGAAGTTCTGGTTGATGGCAAAGTTGAACACGAAGCTACCACCCTTGTACATGCCTTCATCTGGTTCGATCGTGAGAGTAAAGTTCAGAATGTCGTCGGGGTTGGGAAATGTCGTCTTCATGGTCGACCCGAGGGACAATTCACTTAGATCTGCGAGAAACTGCATTAGACGCCTCTCCAGCCAGACAGGGGAAACCGTTCACCTTTTTGCACGCGAAGTTGAGCGGCTGTGACCTTCTTCTTCTTCTGCGTCACTCCTTGTGCCTGTTCATCCTTTTGTTGCTGTTGTTTCTGCACATTGCCATCAGTGATTAGCTATAGGCACTGGGAACCGCTCCTACCATTGACCATATTTTCATCATCTTGTCAGTCGGTCGTCACCACGGGGTGACACAACAGCTCGATCGATGTGTATCTCTAAAGAACTCTGTGAATCAGGCCAGAGAGCGTGGAGGGCGGGGAGTGGTTGACGGAGGCGGGCGTGTCAGTCGGATCGGGAAGAGGAACAAAGAGGGCAGGGCGCAGCCTGAAACTCGGCGTTCTCGTGTCTCCTTCCGTGAACGGGTGCTGGACAGCGGAGGCAGGACAATGGGATATCGGCAGTGTGAAGAAATCCACGAAAGAGAAATTCACAGATAATGTAAATAATGTAGATGGTTATCACGATTTGAAAGTCCGGAAAGTCAGAGGGGGAGGCCCCTGCGGTCGAAGTGCCACTTGCTCGGATCATGTATGGGAATCTGGCTGTGCTCACATGACGCAGGTGGCATCCACAGCCTCGCCTCCTTGGAGGACCAGTCAAATGTAATAAACGCCATACTTTTACTCGATACATGTATTTAATCCAAACCCCAACACCATTTTATTGTGAGTCCGCTGCTAAATCCGACAGGAACTGTGTCTTCACCAACTTCAGCCCCAAAGGAGACCGACATCGGAAATAAGCCTAAGCTTCTCCCTTCAATGCTAACTGTGATCTAGACCTGACTATATCTAACACACTGGGAGGGACGACTATCTTCTATTGAAACAGCAAAGCAGACCGGTCCTGCCAAGGAACCAGCAGCACCCGGTGAAGCGCACAACGGAAAGAGCTGCCGTGGTCCACAAGAGCGCTTGGAAAAAGTGGTTGCTTCGGCTCGTTGCTCTAGACTGTGGGAGAAGTTAGCAGTGGGAATCACCGACATATGTCAAGATACTTACAGTAAACCCAAAGTTGTCGACGCTGTCACTAGTAATGACAACCGAGAGCAAGGCATTCGAAAAGATCCATGTCGCCACCAGTCGAGTTCTGAAGTTCTTGTACGAATCTTCCAGCGTTTTGTCTTCCTTTTCCTCAGGTGGCACGTACGGCGCCAAAGCACGCCGCACTGTAGCCTCGAATTGAGAGTCAATGTCGGCTTGCGGTCGGTCCACTTCTTCCACAACCGTCGCCTTGCCCTTTTCGTCTTTCTTGGTTTGGGCCGAAGGTAGCACGTCCGCCTTGTCCGAACCTTTGGTTCCCCACGAGACGTCGTGCCAGTTGCTAAAGGCGTAGATCATGAGGATATTGATGAAGGACGGCATGAGGAGCAGGTACTGGAAAAACGAGGTGAACATGTGCCAAGGATCCAGATACATGAACGAAGCCACGAAATACAACCCGAATGTAGCCGCCAGCGCGATGATGACGATACCAGGTCCGGTCGAGGCGAAGAAGGATTTGAGGAATTCGTTAGCCCCCTCGTTAGTGACAATATCAGTGCCATCTTTCGAAGTGAATGCTTTGACCACCAGATACATGGACAGGACGATCACGTAGAGCTGGATGATGGCGAAGACGCAGAACGAGATGATGTATGCAACCTTGGAGCCCTTGGGACGGTTACCCAAGGCCAGGATAAATTGCAAGAGCAGGAAGGCCAGATAAGCGTATTGCAGCACAGTGTTGATGATTGGTGTCGCACTGTTGCCGAACGGGAAAGCTTTGTTGTTGTTGTTACTGCTGGGTTGACCCACCAGATCCATGAGAATTTTGGTGGTGAGCCAGAAAGCCGCGAGAGAGAACCAGGAAAGGATAACCGACACAATGTTGTAGATCATTTGAATGTGGAAGAAGAGCATTCGGATGATGTTGTGGCCGGATTTGTACATACGGGAGAAGTGCATAAGCGAGTAGATGGAGGCGGCAAAGGAACCGTTGAGCCAACGTCGACGTTGGCCGATGAATTCTGCCGCTCCTTCAGGCACGTCGGTTTCGGCTTTGGAGGCCTTGACGTAGGTCAGATGCCATTTCGAACCTGCCTTAGCGACCAGTTCAAAACACAGGATACGATCCTCGGCCAAGAACATGTTCTTCTTGAAGATATTCATGCCTTCGATACCCTTCTTTCCCAGCCGCTTCGACAGGGTGTGATCGCCGTGGAAATACTGCTCCAGGGGACGACCCATGATCGCTCGGAAACGATATGCTGAGAACGCACCGGGGAGCACACTGACGTAGCCAAAAGAGCTCTCCAATGGTTTGTCCAAGATGTTACTGATCTTGTATTCAAAGTTCTGCGCGGCGACCAGAGGGTTCAAGAGCTTTCGTCCAAAAACACCCCCGCGACCCAACATAGCGTGGATTTCACCGCAAGCACCTCCGAGATCCTTGTCGTTATAGAACGCCTCCCACAGAGCCATGATAGCCTTCGAGCCGGGCTTAGTGCCGGCATCTAGAAGAATACAGATCTCCGGGTTGAGGATGCGGCCAAACGCGTTGAACAACCATCGGTGGGAGTTGATCTTCTTGCTGTTCTTCTGCTTTAGACAGAACATCATCTGCACTGGGGGCAACGACGTTGGGTCATTGTCGCTCGGCCGAATGAGCTGTTGATTCGCTGTCACAGAAAGCTGGGTTGTATATTCGAAGAGATGGACCACAGTCTCCTTGCCATCGACGTCCTTCTTCATGACCCCATCTTGATACACACCAACGGTCGCAAGAACGTCCAAGGTGTTCTTGTCGCAAGGGTCGATGCCATCGAAGATGATACATACGACGATCTTCTGCCAGGCCGGTCCGCCTTTGTTCCAGAACTCGGATTTCTTGAGGTTGACGATGTCGCGGATATTCTGCATCACTCCGTGCAATGTGCGGGCTGTCAAGACCTTGTCTTCGTTGTAGGCCGTGATTGCGATGAGGAGCTCGGTGTGCCGGTTGTACATGGCGGGACGAAGGTTGTAGCCGTTCTTTAGGGTAAAATCATCGGGATCGCAGGTAGCAGCCGTGTAGCGCATGTGGGTAAACTCCTCGCTCCCACCCTCGAGGTCGGTCCGGTATTTGGACTGAATTGCGTTCTGGATGGCACTGGGCACCGGATAGTCGATACTCAGCACGCTGTTGACGACCTTGACTTTTCTTGTAGCGTAGCGTTTGACTGTGCCGAAGCCAGGAGCTTGTCGTTGCTTCCATGCCTCCGTAGAATTGCTGCGCTCAGTCGGATCAGGATAACCCGGGGTAGGAAACCCGGCCTGCGTATTGCTCAAGCCATAGCCTCCCCCATACGCCTGAGTGTGCTGAGGGTTGTATCCTGTGACTGGGGCTTGTGACTTGTCTCCTCCTACATACGTCTCATTCAGGGTGTAGATCGATTCCTGTCCTGGCGTCAACGGGCGGGAATGGGGGTCATCGTATTGCGACTGATACGCAGCGTTCTGGTGTAGCAAAGAATGCTCTGC